AAAACTAAATTCACCTTCTACTCATGCTGAACTAAATCTTTCTCAGCCATTGCATAAGCACAGGAGAGAGTTTGTAACTAAAAATTAAGATAAGTAACATTTACTGAGTACCTTCTTCTTCCTTTGGTGCTGCAGCTGAGACTACAATGTTGACAACAAGTGTTGTATCTAGCATGCTACTCTGAACCACAGGTACTGCCAGAGAGTACTTCATGAGAGAATGTTGCAATGTGTCACTGCTGAAAAGTAAACATTTCATGAAGTTATTTCAAACAGAATTAAGAGCATCTGAATGCAGGACTAGCAGCCACGATATGTTGTACTGTAATTCCATTTTTGGATGTTGAGCCTGTGTTAGTATTGGACAGATTTTTTCTCCTACAACATGAGTATGCCTGGCTTACCTGTCTTGGTGAAGTGAGAATTAATTAATCTTCATAAAAGGCTTTGAAGAGGAAAAGCACTGTGTATAAGAACACTACATGCTCTCTGAGTTAAAAAACAAACGTGTCAAATATATCTTCCTCCTGGTGAGCAATGGAAAAGAGCAGAAAGGATATTTACAATGTTTGTTTTCATAATTTAAATATTTTCATTGAGCTGTCTTCTGATGTCCAGAACTAATGAAATATCTGATGCTAGAACTAGAAGCAGGATTTTTTTCCCTTCTTTTTTTTTAAAATTAGTTCTGTTAGTTTAGTGTGATGTGTCTAGCACAGAGGGACTATCTAATGGACTCTCAGTATAGCACAGAGATTTGGTCTAAAATTAGTTTCTGGGCTTCGGTAATGAGTAAAACTGAAAATAGAACAGTCCTGAGAGGTTATCTTGTAAGGATTTATTTGTGAGAATTAGTGTCCTATTAATTTCTTCTATTCTGCAAATAAATCCTGGAAATCAATTAAATGTTGGGGTTTTTTAAAATTTAATTCCAGTATGCCAAGGTCACTGGCTAGCTGACTCACCAGATGGAGCTGTAGGCTTGTTATTCTTCACTAGTCATCATTCCATCCCTGAACAATACTATTGTGTGAATCTAATATATTCTTGTCTTATCACTGAAAAAGGCAAGCCACCAGAATGATTTATCAGTGCATTGCGGGTCTCTGGTGGAAGAATACTAAGATTCTGTTTATTCTTGGCTGCTTGGATGAGATCACATCGTAGCATTCCAACTGATACGCTTACAAGGTCGTATGTGACTCAGCCAAATTCTTATGAGACACATAAAAGTTGCCTTGGCAAGAACTGTTTGAGAAGCAAACAAGTTTTGAACATGTGAGAAACTGAATTCCTGGGCAGTGTGTAAATTATGAGCCATTGCCACAGATAAGCTTAAATTGCACATGTGTATCTTAGGATACCTAACAGGAAGCCCCTGGCCCAGGTGTGGGCAAAGGAGGGGGGTGCATAACGAGCACCAGAAGTTACAAGTGACAGAACTGATTTCAGAAACTGGTTTATATGTGCATGCCTTCATAGTACAGTGTTGCATTGCAAGCACATCAGGACAGAAGTCTGAGTCCAGAAAGCAGCAGCAACGGATTTGGGCTAGGTATATGATTGCTCCTTGTACCTGCTCCCCTATGTGCGATTCCCTCTTAGCACGGCTAAGGGTGGTGGGTTTTTGTCTCAGAAAATAGCATCCCAGTTCTGAATACAGAGGATCCAAACTCAGTTCCACCCTGGTTGCTTGAGGGTTCATTCTGAAAGCATCCTTGATAGGTCATGTTGTTTTTTTTTTTTTCCCCTGTGCTTCATTAAAAGTGCAAAAATCAATTGTTTGTGGGGGGCTACAGCTCAGACCATTTCTGCTTTGTTGCAGAAACTACTGTGAGCAGGCAAGCAGCTACAGGACTTGGAAGAATGTTTTTGCAGTTAAGGAATCTGAATGTGTATGCGATTTGGATTGTTATCTTGTCTCTATTAGGCTGCTCTCCTAGCTTGTGGACAAGAAGTTTTAAGCCAGAGATTAAATATAGCTTCTGATTTTTACTTATGTAGATTTTTTGGTATTATTTCTCCCACTGCGTAATACAGATATATGTTAAGACAGTTAATAGGGGATTGTTTAAGTACTTAGAGAAGCTGCATCAAGAAAATTTTTGTTTTATTTGACAATTGATTACCATAAATGTGATTCTCTGTAGTCAGCCTACACTGACAATGATAGCTTTTGGAAATATTCACTAGACAGACATTACATGAAAAGAAATTAACAGAAGCTGAGCTTTGTTAGATACATACAATTCTAAAGGCATTTAAATAGAGGAGTGAATAGGTAGCAATGGTTCAGTGATTACCAGTACTCAGTTTTCTTCTGCTCTCCTGGTCTGCTTTTCAGCTGTACTCCGTTTTGCCACAAGCTGTGCTTTCATTTTGGACAAGGTCTTTATGGGTGAATACCAATACAAGGTGGTATTCCTATCTGACAAAAATAATACCACGTTAAAAATCTTTGTTTAGTTCCTGGTCATCCTTCCTGACTTGTTCAATTAAAACAAAAGAAAAGAAAACCGAAACCAAACAAACCAAACTGAAAAAAAACCCTAAAAAACGACAAAATAAAATCCCGCACCATTTTCTTCATTTGAGGGCCATTAGAAGATCACATGTCAGTAATTCCAAAGAAAAGAAAAAGTAGCTGTATTGTGAGGCTTGAAAGCAAAGTTTGAGATCATTGTACACAATTTCAAGTATAACTTAATCATGGTAGTCTAGCCTGTTCTTTGAAGGAGAAAATAAAAAACAAACCCCAACTCAACCAACCAGCCAACAAAAATCTGCAAGGAAGATGGTTGCACAGCTTTCCAAACTAGTGTCTGCCTTTTCTTCAGAATCCTTTTTATTTGGTGGGCAATCATGTGATGCTGCTGTGAAGTTGTGTATCCCTTGCTGTTCAATAGATTTCACCGTAGCTCTAAGCCAAAAAGAGACTTACTTATAAATAAGAAAAATTATGCTTGGAAAAATGTTTGCTATGGCTGAGTGTTTGGGTTTCCTGTATTTGTGAGACTATCATTAACCGTTTTGAGTAAAGGAGGCAGTTATTAATGAAAGATAATCAATGCTGCTGATGATTATAGGAAAAAAGCAATCAGCACATCTGAGGCAAATGATATGACAACAGCCTGTATTAAAGAATTACATCCTGACCGGCTGTGGAGAAAAAAAAAAAAATCTTATAAAAAGAAAATAGTATGTTGTGTCCCTCCATAAAAACAGTAATTTCTGAGATGGTAGGATGTGGGCTGGAGGAAGGGAGGAAGGGGAGCAGACACCAAGGGGACACAGTTGTATGCAACACGATGCACACTTTTAGAGATTCTTTGGAACATTTGGAAAGGAAGGCTCTTCTGGAAATGCTAATCTCTGTAATTTTGGGCAAAGAGAAATGGTAGGAGAGAAAGCACATCACAATACATTTCAGATGCTATTATTTTAGGAAAGGACCATTGTACAGAGCAGGTATGCTAAAGCTCATCAGACTCAGTACCACTAGTGCATCTGCTGTGTGTGTCTCTGTGTATGTGGAAGGCTGAAGAGGTGAAATGTCCTCATGTCATTGCTGTTGTTTAAATCTTATTATTTATCATCAAGGTCACACTAAGGGAGAATACACCGCTGCTTTAAATTTGGTGACGCCTGTTTTCCATGCCGGGTCATAGGAATTGTCAGAATGGAATGCAAGCCTTACGTAATGAGTCTTACAGTAGTAGGGAAAAGTCAGACAGTGAATCACTTTTGAATCTCTTCTACATGAAATGTTTTCATGAGGATGTATGTGACAAACATTGCAGTAACACACATGGGTGTCTCTCTGCTGCTTTAAGCTTTCAGTAGCTATGATGAGCAAAATGTAGTACCTAACCTTTACTGAAAGATGAGATGCTTTCCAATTAATGTATTTAGCCTAACACTATTTGCAAATAACTTGAAAATCTATGTGGTCTTGAGACAAAGAAATGATGCAACTATCACCACTATCATCTTATTTTTGCAAGGAAGGAAAATACCATAGGTGCAATGTTAAAACATGAGAGATTAATACATCTTGGGCATGGGTGCCCTAGACATAAGGTCGTCAATTTTCTCTTCTTATTGGTTGCATCATGTATAGAAATCAGTCTGGTCATGGTCTTGTGTTTAAAATAAGTGAATGTCCTATATTCAACACTTGCACAGAATGTCAGCAGAAGTAGTAGTGTGCAATGAATTTAAAGCAAGTGCAAATGGTTTTTTTTCTGGGTTTTTTTTTTTTTAAGTGATAAAAATGTGAGAAAGAGCACATCAAACAGCATGATGTGCAACATCCTGGCTGTTTACCCTAATTAACATATTCCAAGTAGCTTGTTTTTTAAGGTAAACTAACCAAAACAACTTCTCCTTTTGAAAAGAAGCTCTTTCTTGTTTCTTCCAGTATATTTGTGAAACAAAATGTAGGGCTTCTGGTTTTGTAAAGGAAAAAAAAGTTGCCCCCCCCCTCATTTCCCTGCAGAGACTGAAAAGCATAACTACTGAGCTACAGATTCTAGATTTGCTTACTTTATACTGGGGTCAGGGAGGGAGAGGAAGAACAACAGTAACAATAAAAAGTCTGAAAAACCCTTGGAAAAGACACTAGCCAAATACTCAACTATGGAGGTAGAAACAGGGTTTAATTATACCATTGTTAGAAAAAACCTGCAGAAGGACTTGTCAGGTTGCAATACATACTAGTCTTGTCAATCATCATTATTGCCAGGCACAAAAAAATGAAGCGCATATGAGAAGTTTTTACATAGAACTTGTAGAATGTTGTCACTAACCCACCCCCACACATGCATTTTATTTCACACTGACAAAAGCTGAGATGAATGAGTTGTTGTCTGGCCCTTCCCACTTTGTATAGTCATTGGCTGGCTTGGTTCTAAAAAGGATTTAAAAAAGGGGAATAATGTGCCTTTGCCTGGGATCTGAGACTGTCAGGGTGCTGAAAAGCTAATCTGTGAGCTGCCACCATGCAGATCTCTTGGGCTGTATGCTCTGTCTGTGTCTTAATACAAATTGCATTTCAATCTGTGGAAGCATGGCAAATGTTTAAAAATGATGCTACAGAAATCATTCCTGAGATCACTGAAAATACAGAAACACCGATGGAGCAGACTTTCAGCAACAACAACACAATGAACCAGGCAAAGCATGGAGGAAGACACATACAGCAAGCTCCAGACCCTAACGGTAAGAATAATAACATCATTATTACTGTTTTGGACCCTAACAGGAAGTTTATAAGAGAAAACTTTTAGGTGTGGACCTAATGCTGTAAATGATAGGGAGTTACATCTACTGTTGCAGAAGTTATCAGTGTAAACATTAGAAGGGATATACCAGAGTTTACTGGTGAAAAATGTGGTCTATCTGTTGAACAATCCTTAGGTACCACAATATGCATTCCTATTCTGCCCAGCTGCTCTCTGCAGGCACAACTTCAATACATAAAGCCTGTAGAAGATACTACTTAAATTTCTCTGTGTTTTGTGCTTGCAAGCACTGTGAGGAAATATCACAAGTTGTCTTTCTCTCTTTGATGTTAGGATGGAGCAATGAGTTGACAGTGGAGAGAATATAAATTCTTAATATTTAGAAAGAGTCACACTAGTGATGTCTAAGATCACACAAAAATAGTACATGGAGGTTGCGTTCAGCTAGAGGAGAGAAGTGTGCTGCTCACTGTCCTTTACCAACAGCCTGATTTTCAGCCAGATTCCAGCAGCCAAAAAAGCTGTTATGAACAGTTAAAGCACTCTTGAGGGGAATACATGCCCAAATGAATTGGAGGGGACTTTATTTTGCAGAGTTATGCAATCTTGGAATCGGTTTGGCTTCTTTAACAGCACCGACATACTTCATAATATATTGTTACTGCATTTGGCCGACTCTAACATTAGCAATGATGCAAAACACAAGCTTTGTGAAAAGACATGAAGGGTTAGCACAAAACAGAGAAAGGTAGTTTTAAAGAAGTGTTCTGCTGGCAAATAGGGTGAACTTGGTCCTCGAGACTGACACATTTGGCTACCAGATGCACATAGCAACAGGTCAAACTTACAGTTTCCAGTATTGTGCACTGCAGATCTGAGCTAGCCTTCCTTTTCCGGGGACAACTGAAAGGGAATTGTGTTTTTCTGCTGCAATTGTCAGTTAAGGTCTTTAAAACCATAGCATTAACAATATTTTAAAAGAAAAAAAAAGTAATGTTTTTGAGAGTGCAACTTTATAAGGGTTTTTAATCCCTGAAAGGGGGAGCACTCTGCTTCTCACAGGCAGCCCCACCAACCCCCACGTCAAGGCAGGTTGATTTTGTTTTTACATCTGAATACCTTCATTTTTTTACCCTCTTACTACTCTGACATCAACTGGGGGGAATCTGTCTAACTGATATCTGCAAATTTTTTTAACTGGAAAGGGCATTTACTTAAGAAAGAGAGGGTGAAGGAGACTGGACAGTTACTCAGGATATGCAGTGGTCTTGTGTACTTGTTTTAACATCTTTAACACAAGGAATCAAAATGATGATCCAAAGTGGACAGACCTTCACGGGACACATGATGTTGCACCAGACCATGAATAATTTTGCAGTATGTGGAACCTGTGCACATATAGGACAGGACACATATGCACAGAAAATAAACCTATATAGTTGAGGCAAATACCCGTATATTTAACTATATCTGCCTGTGTGCTAAGGTGGTACAATACACCTGATTCAGAGCATTATTTTTTACATAGACATAGTTTTCTTAAATGCTTAGGGAACTTGGGAAGATCAGACTAAGTACACATGGAGTTCAGTTGTCAGCATTTTTGTCACAGCATTATGACAAGGATTGCTTCATTTCATTAATGCAGATCTTAAATCTTTTTAAAAATGAAATCTTGCTAGCTGTACTTTGATAAATATAAACTGGAGCACTAAAAATCATGCTTCCCTACTTAGCAGGAAAAACAAAAATTAAAATGTCTGTACAAATATTGTTCTATCACTAAAGACTCAGAGTCAGAATTCTCTTTTGATGTACCGAGGAGGGAACCACCATGTGCACAGCAAGGAGAATAGGCCTAACAGTCAGAGCCTCCTGTTTGTAAGCTGACCTTTGAGGATTTCCACCACAAACAGCATTCCTGAGTTAAAACTATACTTTCCACTGAGAAGAACATAATGTTTATCTGGATGAAGTTCTTCAATAAACACCTTCAAAAATCAAATTCTGTGCCTTCCAAACAAGTAAATTGGCCAAGCATGGCTGAAGAGACGCCTTTAGAAAAAGTCTGTTCCTACAATTGGAAAGTTTTTCTAAATCCTTATTGCTAAAAAAACTCTTGTGTTTCCTAATGTTTCGTTTGTCTATAGCTGTCCGTTGAGAAAAGGGGGTGAAAAAACCCACTGTAAGGTACCTAATCAGCCAGAAGATGCCTCTAGCTGGCTGAAGGAAATTACGTGGGACAGGTGGAATTGTCACAGAGAGGAGTAAATGTGGAAAACCTAATGACTGAACAGTGGGAAGTCCTTAGGGCTGTTGTTACCTGCTGTTTCCCTAACCTGGAACACATTATGCTAGTTAAAAATCACTTAAGGTACACCTTCTTTGTTGCAAAAGAATTTAAATCTAGGGTCAACCTCTGAAGTCAATAGAATTGCGGGGAAGGTTTTGCCCACAGGTAAATGAAGCCAGGAGAATCACATAAAAATTTCCCATGAAGTAACTACTGCTGCTGGGGTTACACTGCAGGAGCTCCACTGCCCACCTGCACAACCCTGACATGGAATTTACCTAGTGGCAAGAGAAGAATTTTACACATCAATTTGTATGTTGTCATTTAAGGGTCTCGTAACTAGAGTAGCCTAATATTCAGAAGCTGCACGAGCAAGTCTTTGGAGATACTCTTCCCAAAATCTGCCATTCAAGTTGTCCAGCTTGTATCTAGCACAGAGATAGATATCTGCTACAGAAACAAAAAAAAAGCGCTTTCTCAAGGATGAGGAAGAAAGTAGTAACTAATGTGTTTCTTGTTTGCAGATGCTTCTGGCTATAGCTGCAGAGAAATGAGAACCACCCGCTATGTCACAGAAGGGCCTTGCCGCAGCATCAAGCCTGTAAAGGAACTGGTCTGCTCTGGTCAGTGTGTCCCCTCACACCTCCTTCCTAACTCTATTGGTAGAGGGAAGTGGTGGCGTCAGAATGCCCTGGATTATCGCTGCATTCCTGCTCACCCTCGCACGCAGCGCATCCAGATGGCTTGTCCCGAGGAAGAGACTCGGACTTACAAATTCCGAGCTGTCACATCCTGCAAATGCAAGCGCTACACTCGCTACCACAACCAGTCTGAGCTGAAGGACTTTGGAAAGGAAACTGTCAGGCCTCAGAAGAACAAGAAGCCCCGTCTCTCCAGAGCCAGGAGCAGCAAATCTAACCAGCATGAGTTAGAAAATGCGTATTAGAAGGTGGTGCTGAGTGGTACAGCCTAGCAACTCCGGGTATTTTGCAAAACATCAAATGGCACTCACAGGCCACAGCATGACGTTCTGACTGCAGTAGGTTTCAATTCCTTCTGCTAAGCTGGGTCAAAGGCTCACATAGTCAAAAAACCTATCGGATTGTAGCAGTTATGGTCTGATACGAGAATGAGATAAACTGAGCTGGAGGTAGCAACACCTAAATTCAGTTTGAGAGGAGAGGTGCACCTTGGGGATTCATGTGAGATTATGTGGCTTGTACAAGTAGGAAGGCAGAGGAAAGTGAAGCTGTTGTGGTGACAATCACACTTCACTAGAAGTCATTCTGCTCACTTTATGTGAAAAGAAGACCGAGATCCCTTTCCCACTTTTATAAGTGCCGTGATGCAGGACAAGCATGCAATTAGGGAAGCACCAAGGAGAATTACCACTCTCTGGATTAGTTGTACAAAGATAGTGATAGCAGGGATTTCAACAGTTACGGTGACTGCAAAGTCAAATTATTGGTAAATTAACATCTTGTCAGATGTCCTCATGCCCCAGTTGTTCCCTCTAAAACACAAAAATCAAAATATGACACATGTGTTCTCAAAACAAAAGTGTCCAAATCTATTTCATACTTTTAATTAAAAGACTGTAGGATCGACAGATTCAAAACTGAGATCTGACAACTAAAACCATGTTAGTTTTAAGGACAATGATTTGTTTTAGGACAATTAAACAAATTCTACTAAGTGGAGCAGATTTATTAAATGAATGCTCCTCACTGATGTTTGTCCTGTAAACAGCTAACGATGTGCATAATTTAACATAGAAGATACTGGTTATGCCTTATTTCCTAGACACAATTGACTTTAGTATCAGCTTAGATATCTCAATTTACATTTTCTGTTCTACAGAGTTTGGGTTATCTGGCCACACACTTCATAGCTAAGACTGTGCAAGTGAAGTTCTAGGAGTAAGGTGCTGGTTCTGCATTAAAAGTGAGCCTCTGCTAATTTTAAAGTCATTAATTCCTCTAGAAAAGTCTTTGGTATGTGCAACTTCGATAAGTCTTTAGTTTGACAGCAACTTTCCTTTACTTAGCTTCTCAACATTCACACTAATGTTTTTGTTTTTACATTACAGATTATTATTAGACAGTGAATCATCACATGCTGTATATATACCATAGAAGTGCTAAGCCTAGTATCAGTTGAACATAGTTTGGGATGAAGACAGTTCCTCACTGTTCTTATTTTCTATGTAAAGTTTATGCTGAAATCATATAAAGTATGGAAATTCGCGATGTTGATAGATTTTGCAATTATTTTATGTGGGAGCAGAACCTAGAGAGAAAAGGTATTGTTTCAGAGAGGGAATTACCTATTTATTTTTTTCTCAGAAATTATTTATGCAATGTTTTTCCATGTAGAGAATGAGAAGTAATACTGCTTTAAAAATATTAGTGTGTTATTTTTAATTTTAAATACATTGTTAATAAAGTAGAAACAATGATTAATTATAGGAAGACTCATTGATTTTCAGTTATAGTATAAAGCTGATTTGCTGCAAAGCCAGTGAATTACAGAACAATCAGGGTGTTGACTCCAATTTCTGTGACAGAGAGTGTCAAGGTCCTTAATTCTCAATTAATAACCCACACAGCTCTAAAGAAACTCCATCCTGGAACTTCTTGCTCCAACGCATGACATTTCTTATGGAAAAAAGTCTCATGGAACAAAATCAGCTGATTTCAGTTTCCCTCCTACTCCCAGTGACATTTCATGATTCATGTGTTCACAACCTGATAAAGCCACCAAAGAAAACAAGAAGTCTGTGAACTGTTGATCAAGATTTCTTGACTGAAATCCGATTGCTTCAGATTTCTCTCATTGAAAAAGAAGTGTGGAATCCCCTTGCAAGTGCTGCCAAGCAACTTTTACACTTTTTAACAATTTGATATTGTACCCCTATGCCCATTTTCATTTATAAGGCCATGTTCTTTAAGAAACAAAGACATTTTTTCCCAATGAAGTCAGGGAAAACTGAGCTTAGACTGCACATAGCAAGGAGATTTTTGAATATAGCTGTAAAGATGAACAGCTTTTTCAACACAGCCAGTAGATAAGGTGTTGTTTCATTACTTCCGTTTGATACCTCATATAAAAACCTAGTACAAGCAGTTGTCATACCTGTGATGACATTTTCCAGAGTTCAACTTTATGAACTTGGCACTTCGGGCTTAATTTTTGGAAATCAGCATAAACACCTGCAAGTGCTTCTTAAGTAAGAAAAGCAGTTCAGTTCCTCTGAAACACTATTCCACAGTCTCACTGACATCTAAAGTTACTGGCATATTGTCTCTAAAATGTTGACTCCAATAAACCAGAGAAAAATACTTACTCCGCTTTGTCTGAGACGTCATGCTGGATTCCAGGCAGTTCAGAAGTATAGGGCCTGCTGCAGGTGAACCAGTAATATCTTTCTCGCAAATGCTTCACCCTAAAGACATCCCCTTCCAAAAAAAACCCAAAAGCCAAAAACCAAAAAAAACCCCAACTAAAAAACCCCACACCACTCCTCCCACAAAGTGCTTTTCTACCAAAAGTGCAAAAGTTTCATGCTGTTACGCTGCCATTCAGAACCTTGCAGTTTTCTGACTTACAATGTAAGAATTGGTTCTTTGCATGTTATAAAAGCTTTTACAAGAATCCCAATGGACAGGGAGTCCTGAGGCACATATACTAGTATGTTTCCTCTCAATGCCCATCCTGTTTACAGTTTCTCCCCACTGGTTTCTTACCACAGTTTAAAAGTGGCTTAGATGAGCAGTCTGTAGATATGCTTAGTCTTCTGTAGTCTTACTCCTGAAACAGTCCCCTCCAACCACCTCTTTTGTGATTTGTATTATCAGGAGAGGAACAGGATAGTGTTCAGCAAACAGCTGGAAAAATCAAAATGTGGGATGTTTCACAGAGGCAGACGGCTACATTCCCCTCCACTCCCATCCCCATGTGGGTTCTTTTCAAACAGAGCATTTGCGTTTGTTTATTTACTTACTTTTCACACACACTCTTTTTTTTTAAAAAAAAAACCCTCTAATAAAGATGTATGTGATTTTAGCCTCACATTAGTACATATTATTTACAACTGTTAGTAGGGCTAGAAAGACTAGAAGACAGAAATTTAGAGAATGACTTACTGGTCTAATAATCTATGTCAGTGTTTGCTGAAAGCATTATTTATGACTCAAGGGACATACTGTACAGAGGAGATGCCATCTCTAACTGCATGAAATTTCAGTTTGTCTTTCACACTAAATCTATAAATTTTCAGTTCTTTACAAAGAAAAAAGTTTGTTATTGTACACAGAGGAAATAATTGAAAACATAGTGATTTTACAGATTGTCCTTATGTCAGCAAAACATTAGTGGACACAAGATATACATGGGACAGGCTCTTTCAGAGTAACAAATACTCCAAAGGGGTTTCATAATGGGCAGAGACCTACTGTGCACTCATTTTACGGAAGCATTAAGTAGTTCTTCGTTGGGACTATAAACTCTTTAGGCAAGACTTAATTTCTTCATTGTAATTTTTGCAATAAAATAGGACAATGGTACGTAATTTAGGTGCTACTGAACTAGTGGTAACAGGTCACTGAATTTGCCTTCACTTGGCTGGAGACAGCTGCCTGTCAACAACTGAACAACTGTCATAATGGGTAGTCCACAGAAAAACTATCAAGTTGCTTTTTTCAGACAGGATTCATGGTTTCTCCAAATCAGCTTTGAACACTCATTTGTCCCCCATTTTTATTTCCAACTTGTGTAGACAATGTCCCATGGCAGATTCTCTACAATATACTCGCTGACTTACAATAAATAAATCAGTGTGCCTACTTTAGTTCTTTTTCTGGCAAAAATACAATTCTGCTATCATTCAGTGAAAGATAAATTTACAGGCAGCACAAACAGCCTGCTGGTATCCACAAGATCCCAAAGATGTTGCATGAGGTTCAATTTTTTTAATTACAAATTGCACAACAAAGAACATAACTTTATCCAGTGAGGCCTTAGGCCCAGAAAACACATTATGCGTGTGTTCTGCAAATGTGGTTGAGAAAGTCAGCATTGTGAAATACGGAAGGAATAAACATGTATTTTTTTTTTTAGCCATATGACGTCAACTTATAATTAGCTTGTTTCACTCAAATTAGTGCAGTGTATGGGCACACAGAACAACTTTTCTATAGTAAACAGGCTCAAAAGTCTTAAATTGACATAGAATATATTTATATGTAGCTTGAGTTTGGATTGAACATACTATGCAGCTGTAACCTGAAATTTGAATAAACTGAAACTTCCCTTGATAGGCAAGTTTAAAATAAACTCAGTACAAGTTGCAGAACTTGCAACAAACACAGCTGATGTTATTCAGTTATACAAAACAGTGCAACTGCTCCCCTTCTCCCCTTTCAGTCTTAGAGCCATCAAAGGACAATTCTGCACAAAGTTTTTCCCATATACAAAGGGGCGGACATTTCTGTTCCTGGAATTGTGGGAACAGTTTTTACACTGAATGTTGGAGAGCTGTAATGTCAAGCTGCAGTGTTTCATGGACAAGGCTCATGATGCCTTGCTGTCTTTTCACTAAATTAGGAATATGGTGCTTTTCTGCTTTTTATGCCAAAATGAAATTTATTCTCACTAGAGTAAAATAAATGTACTGTGCCTGAAGCCCAAAGGGAAGTAATGCTGATTCTTCTGTCAGTGTTAACCATTCCTGACACTGTATCATAAACTAGCTATTTCTTTCAATCCTAAAAACTCTCACTGGTCTTTTATGAGACAAGTTATTACTGTGGAAAGAGGATAATAAAGCTGTTCAGTAAAACCTGAGTAGAGGTAAAACTCATCAGCACAAGCCCTGCTAATTCTGAAATAAAGGAACACAAAGGCAATCTTCAAAACATTATTTCACCTCTATTGCATCACAATGTA